TCCTCCAAACTCCGCGGGTATACACCACTATATGAGAATCATCGGGATGAAGCTCCTCGACCTCCTTCCGGACTTCCTCAACTCCGACGTTATGATCTGTTGACAGCCTCTCTGCCACTACCTTGTTTACTTTCTCCTCCGAAACTCTCTTGCCAAGAACAGCTCTCGAGTCACCAAGATTTGCCACGTATAACACATCGTTTGAAATTGCACCAACTAGACAGCATGATCCAACTGACGCAATTTGAGGCCTTAAAGAAAATGACCGCTTCACCAAATGCAAAAACTCTTCTTCAGTGGCATTGAATGCCCTCTTTATCACATCTGCAGATAATCCCCCTTGTTCTGTAGCAAATTCTACAATGAAGAAAAGAAAACAAAATTAAGGGTTCCCATCAATCTTTTCAAAATAAAAGTGCATAATAATCAATGGAAAGGAACAAATCCCATGAAAAGAATGAGATTAAAGGGTCCAAAATTGAATTAAACTTACAAACCAACACGTTTAGAAAAAATAGTTCATATTCATTGTATACACAAGTGCAATTATCAAACAAATAAAACAAAAAGTGACAATAGACACTTGTAAATTGAGTCTAAATATCCATATACTGAAAAATATATTCTGAAACATATTTGATAACTCCATTGACAGCTTAAGGTTTCCCTGCCATGGACATAAAGATATACTATATATTCATGCCATAGATTCTATATCACGTACAAGCAAAGAAAAATTCCCCATATCCAATGATCTATAAAGTACCATGAAACTTCATATTTGTCCTTACTCCTTAGCAGGGCTTCAAATCACGGTTCGAAAACGTGATAGCGCCTGCAAAATAGCGGTTTCACCTCCGTCCGAGTTACCAGCTACACCCGCAATAGCTCCCAATAGCGCCCGTGACGCCCACAATCACGGTAAACCCGAAATGACCGAAAACCGACCACGACAGCGATTTGAAACTATGCTCCTTAGCAAAGAAAGATATGCTATATATTCTAAAAAAAAGAATCCATTCTTTCATTTATTGAATTAGACTTGCAAACAGATACAAATTTAGACAAATAGCTCATATTCAATGTCTACACAAGTACAAATTTTCATACAACTAAAACAAGAGTGTATGATAGACAAATCTGTAAATTTGATGCTTTCTGATTATTCCATTGATAGCTCAAGGTTATTCGTGTCATATCCATCCATCCATCCATACATGTTATATGTTCATTCATGCCATATCTATGTATTCTACATTAAACCATAAAAAAGAAGAATTCAATGAATAAACCGAAATAGAAATAAAGAGAGAGAGAGAATTACTGTGGAGTAAAGGGAAGAGGTGCTTGTTGACAAACCGGGAAGCTTCGGGGCCGCCATGACCATCATAGACACCGACGTAGGTAGCAAAAGGAGAGGTAAAGACTTGGCTTTGATCTTCAAGGTGGTTGTTGGCTTGCACGACGGCGATGGAGAAATCACCGGAGGCGTGGGGTTTAAGGTCAGTGTGCCACATGAGAGAATCGCTACCGGCCCTCATACCGAGGCAACGCTCGAGCGGCCGTGAAAGCGACCGTAACATCATCATCGTAATAACTAAACCTCTCAAATACTTTCAAAGGGTTTTTCTTTTTTCTCTTTCTGGGGGAAGGATTTTTAAGAGAGAGAAATGGAGTGGAGAGTGAGGTAAAGTGAAAGGAAAACTAAAAGATGCCGCGTGAGGAGGAAGGGAGATGATGACCAACCACCCTAATACAATACTTGTTATTACTTTCCACTCTACGCGTTAACCATTACTTTATTTTTCAAATAAAATATTATATTGAAAATTTAAAATTTTCTATTATTATCAAATATCAATTGTTAATAAAACTAGATATTAAATGTCTTAAAATGTCTAAATTTATAGAATTGTTTATGTAATGAAATTTTATAATATTCATTTTTAATTAATATAAATAATTATATAAAAATCACAATTTGATACTAAAAAGATCTTTTCATATACATATTATATGTGTATGTACGTATACATGAACGGGCCATTTTTTTATATTAAAATATGTTTATAAAAAATTATATCCCTTGTTAGGTATATGTGAAATTTTAGATTTATAATATGTAAAAGCAACTTAGAAAAAAAAAAGCATATGAATTTCTTTGAATTTCTTTCCTATAGAAGTTATGAAAATAAATAGAAATGTTATATTTCAAATTAATATTTACATATATATAGGAAATAATAAAGATATTTTCTATATTTAAGTATCTGGGTAAAGTACACAAATGGTCCCCTGATTATAGGTATTGCTTTATTAAGTCCATTGACTATTAAAAATTACAAAATGATCATTCGACTTCATAATGTTGTTTTGTTTAGTCCCTCGACTATTAAAAGTTATAAATTGGTCACCCAACTATTGATTACGTTATAAATTCATCATTTTCCGTTAAAAAATTGACGATTGACTAAGCTGGACGTTAACATGATGACTGTGATATAATAGTCGTTTGAGATTATGAGATTAGATTTTATCATATTACAATTAGTATATTAATGTTCAACTCAGAATAATGTCAACTTTTAACAAAAAAAAATGATGAGTTTGGAATATAATGAATAATCAGGTGACCATTTTATTATCTTAAATAGTCGAGCAAGAACCAAGTGGCTTCCATAGTAAATGAATTATTGTTATTCCTTGAGGACTCGGGTTCGAGCACCATAGATGTCAGGGGTATGAGCCTTCTATGTAAATGGTTAAGAGTTATCTTTGAACAAATATTGCACCAGATTAATAAAAAAAATAGTCAAATGACTCAACAAAACAATACTCTGGGTTTGTTTGTTTCCGTGTAATTGGTTTTCCAGGAAATGTTTTCCTCATTTTCAGTGTTTGGTTGGCGGAAAACAGATGGTCAATGTAATTCATTTCCCTGGTCAATTGAATTTCATTTATATTTTCTGGAAAACGACTTACGATCTGATTTTCCGTAAGTCATTTTACGAACTTTTCACTTCAAAGCATAAACACTTAAAACATTCTTATTTTATATATTTAATATTAATATATTATTTTAGTATCTTTTTAATAAAAATATTAATTATTAAATTTTATTAATTGATAATTTTTATAATATAATATTTTTATTTTAATAATATATAATGAATTATTAATAAAATTAATATTATTTATTAATTTCATAAAAAATAAATATTTAAAATATATTCTTTAAAATATAATATAATATTCTTATTTTGATACTATAAGTTTTATTTTTAGATAATTCAATTTTCATTACACAAGAAGCAAAATGATGCTACAAGATACAAAGTCAATAAACAATACCTTTAAGTATAGCCATGACAACAAGCAAAGCTATTTACTGATTGCAAAGAACAGAAAACAGCATAACAAACTTAGCTTAAGCAATGCCCCATTTATCACAAAGAGCAACATTGATCAAATCTGCTCTATTGAAAACCAGGCTCTGCATGCGAATTCGAATGACTTGCTTGATATCGTCCAGCACGTCATCTTTAGTTCTGTTCCTTTTACCAAATAATCTGTTATTTCGTTCCATCCAAATGCCATATAAATGACCCGTCCAAGCAAGCTTTAGAATCCGAACAATGAGAGATTTACATTTAAAAAAACAAGCAGCCCAGGCCAGCTCACTGTCCCAGTTGCTAACTCCACGATTGATGCCACATAGTCCAAGGACAGAGCCCCACAATTCCTTAGCAAAGCTGCATTCAATAAACAAGTGTTCTCTTGTCTCTGCCATAGTGCCACACATCAAACACTTGTCGGTTTCGATGGATAATCCCATATGCACGAGCCTAACCCGAGTAGGCAGTCTGTTTAGCATTGCCATCCATACCACAATGCTGAATTTGGGAATGCGCCTAGAAAACCATATTAGATGGTGTCAGGGTACTTTAGGGCCAGTAGCCGCAAATCATCCCAAACTTGCCTCGTGCTCAGATCACAAACCTGACCCGTGAAGAGATGAGCAACTTCAGATCTGATTTCCAGCAGATGTTTGAAATTCCAACTAGCATTAGCAGGGACTGCCATCTGCCAAAAATCAGCATTTCTAATAACATAGGAGTGCATCCAAGCCACCCAAAGGAAATCTTCATTAGCCAAAAGCTTCCTGATAAACTGTACAGTGCAAGACTTTTTACAGCACCCAACATCTTGCAATCCCAATCCCCCTTTAGATTTCAAGAGGCACATTTTCTTCCAACTAACCCTTACACCCTTTGCAAGTACATCAGATCCCTTCCAAAAGAAGCGGGACCATAATTGCTCCACTTTCCTAATGATCGCATGCGGCAAAATAAGTTGCCTACGCCAATAGTTCGAGATGCTTAGGAGTATAGAAAGAATGAGCTGTAACCTCCCAGCAAAGCTGAGATGCTTATTTGCCCAAAAGGTTGGCTTCGCCCTGAGTTTGTCAATAAGGGCTTGACAGTCATTCACAACCAATTTTCTCGTGACCAGAGGAACACCCAAGTACCGAACTGGGAGGGCACCCAATCTAAAGCCAGTGAAATCCCTGATGAGACAACTATGCACAACATGAATACCAGCAGCAAACATCTCACATTTGCTAGCATTCAACTTCAAGCCTGACATGGAATAGAAGTGATCTAGGACAGCTTGCACCCCCATGACAGAATCGATAGAACCCTTGCAAAAAATGAGCAAATCGTCCACAAAGCAAAGGTGTGTGAGCCAAATCCTTTTACACTTGAGATGATAGCCAAAGACCCCATTTAAAGCAACCACGTTCAAAATGTTAGAAAGCACATTCATGGCCAATACAAAAATATAGGGCGAAAGGGGATCACCCTGCCTCACACCTCTAGCTCCTCTAAAATATCCAACAAGAGTACCATTGAGGATAATAGAATACCTAGGGTACGCAAAGCAAGCCCATATCCAGCTAATGAATTTTTCAGGCAACCCCAAAGCATGCATAATCACACCTATAAACTCCAGTTCAAGGAATCAAAAGCCTTCTGCAAGTCAATTTTGAGTGCACATCTAGGAGACATATTCTTCCTAGAGTAACCTCTAACAATTTCCTGGGCTAATAAAACATTATCAACTATGCTTCTTCCTTTCACAAATGCAGTTTGGTTCATAGAAATCATGCCAGGAAAGACCGAAGAGAGTCTATCCACTAAGATTCTAGTGACAGTTTTGTAAACAACAGAGCAATATGAGATTGGCCTAAAATCTTTAACTAGGCTCGGATTTAGGACCTTAGGGACTAACACAACAACTGTTGCATTGAATGAGAGAAGCATAAAAGAATGATCGAAACAGTACCTTATTGCTGTCATGAAGTCTTCTCCTACAACCGCCCACGCTCTCTTAAAAAAGAAAGCATTATAGACATCTGGACCAGGTGACTTATTCCCCTGCCTCCACAAGGCCTCCTTAATTTTAGTATCAGAGACATTCTTGCATAAGTTTTCAGCTGCACACTTTGGTAACGAATAGCCAAATAACTCCTTAATAGTGCTAACATTACTGCCCTTGACCTCAGGATCAGCTATAACTAACTGGTTCACAAAGAAACCAACCACTTCGTTAGACATGGCCTCAAAAGTGTCAAGTCTTTCACCTCTTTGATTGAATAACACTCTAATTGTGTAGTTCTTTTTCTTGCTAGTAACCATAGAGTGAAAGAAGCGGGTACCCTGGTCACAATCTTTGATCCAATCTGCTTTTGTTTTTTGCTTATAAAAAAAACATCTCATCCTCCTCAAGGGTCCTTAATTCCCTCTCGGTTTCCACTTCAGCATGAATGTTCATACCAACAGTAAGTGGATTGAGATTGACAAGCTGCAATCTCCTCAATTCCTCCATTTTATCTCTGACTTACCCAGAAATATCACCATAATAACTTCTATTAAGCTCTTTGAGGGATCGTTTCAATCTTTTTAACTTGAGGTAAAGAGTTTACAAAGGGTTAGCAATGACAGGAGCATGCCATGATTCCCTGAAAATGGCCATGAAGTTGGGATGCTCATCCCAAAAGTTAAAAAAATTAAATGGTTTAGGCATAGCAGCAGGGATATCCTTATACAACCAGACAAGTGTTGGGCAGTGATCAGAATCCTCAGGGGCCTGAAATTCAACATCGGAGGTTGGAAAAACATCAATCCAGTTGGAATTAACAAGGGCTCGATCCAACTTACGTGCCAAGAATGCATCCTGCTCCTTATTTGTCCACGTGAACAATGGGCCAGTGAAAGGATGATCGAACAGACCTAGTCCCTACACGCAGTTCTGAAAATCAAGTATATCTGCCAAGGTACTAGAATCAAATGGAGCAGAACTTTCCCCAGCGTTTAAAATGGCGTTGAAGTCACCACCTATTAACCAAGCTCTACTGCCCACAAAAGCTTCCAAAGAGTTAAGTTAATCCCACAAATGCTTGCGAATGGAACTATCATTCGATCCATAAACTGTCGAAGTACAAAAACTAGTACCCCCCGAGCAGCCTTCAGGACCCATATATGCCCATTGACAGCATGCTTATAGTTACAGCAATAATGTCAATCACTAAACTTATTCAACAGAATAGCAGCAGAATTGATCTCCTTCACTCTAGTTTCCAAGATACATAAGATGCTGACTTGATTTCTAGTAGCCCAATTCAGAACCTTAGCTTGCTTGAAGGAGCTATTGAAGCCCCTTATATTCCAGAAACATATTAACATGCAACAATAGTGGAGGAGGAAGCACCACCACCCCTATTCTCAATTTTTTTTGACTTTTTCCACATGCTCTTTTTTCTTCGATTTTAGGTCTTGGACTAACTTTGCCACACACAAGGAAGCACCTCTATGTTTTTTGCCAAAGTCAGCAGCAGTGGGCTCCAACAATTTTTCAAAGTCGATAGCACATAGCACTTCAAATTTATTCTTTGACTCACCAATATCCCTGCCCTCCTTTGCTGGCCTACCCTTACCCCTCTTAACAAGAGGCTGCTGCTTAGCCTGCTTAACCATGTCCATCTTATCATCAGAAATAATAGCAAGGCAGTTTTCCATCAAGAGTACAAACAACAACAGAATTAGTTACAGCATTAACATCAGCAACCCGTTCAACTTGAGATGTCACATGAGCATGCAGTTTTTCTCCAGAACAAATCACATTAGATGTTCCACTAGAGATAACAACTGTATCAACAATAACATTCCCCATTACCTTATCCACAGCAGAAGAAGTAATTTGTTGAACATCATTCACATTCCTCTTAATTCTCCATACCTGCTCAGTCTTTTTTCCATTCCCTCGAGGATAAAATTTTACAGAATGCCCGAACCGTCTACAGTCTGTGCAAGAGGTAGGCATCCAAGGAACCAAAACTCTGACTCTTGCCATTGATCCATCGCACAAAACAACATCGATAGAGTCCTGAATTATGGACCCAGCAGGAACCTCGACACATACTAGAGCATATTCCAATCTATCCCTAGCAGCAGTAACTGAGTCCATATGTAGAGGCTTACCAACAACACTTGTTATATAACTCAAACCTCTCTTGGAAAATAGCTCAAGTGGAACATTAAACAAGTGAATCCAAATAGGCATGAAACAAAAATCAAAATGTAACTCTTTCAAATTGGGTTCCCATTTCCTAAGGAACATCGACTTATGTTGTACATGCCATGGACCACCATCTAAAACCTAGTCCTTGGCATTCGAATTGGAAAAAGAAAAAACATATAAGCTTGGCCCAACTATACTCACATTGACCGGAGAAATCTTAGTCCATAGCAGCGTAACTATCTTCTAAATAGAACTAAAGCTTGGAGTCGAGCCAATAAATTGCCCAACTAACGCATGCTTCCAGTCTTGAATGCCTTCCTCAAACACCTCTATCGGCGGCTTCACTACACTCGAACCCTCAACCACCTCTGGTGGGAAGAATTCCAGTTCCTGATCGATACCCACCGCAAAGAGTCCTCGCCAGTATGTTAGGGCATCCCCTGACATAGTACTCTAAAACCCCTAAAAAAACAACCACAGAACGATGAATAAAATCGTACGATCGGAAAAAAGAGATTCGCCTTCGCCCGCTGTTAGACCAGCTAACATGCGATACTATAAGTTTTAATAGTTTACTAATATTATTATTTTAATAAGTAATTAATATACTTAATGATATATTATTTTTATTTTAATAAATATTTAATATAATTATAATACTTTTATTTTAATAAAATATAATAATATTTTTATTTTTATTTAAAATTATAGATATAATATTTTAATAATAATATTGACAAAAATAATATTAGATAAATTATTCTAATATTTAAAAATTAATATATTTTTATTTTGTTAACAAATAATATTATTTATTGCATTTGATGTTTATAATAAAGAATTTTTAAAAAAATTACCAACCAATGGAAATTGAATTACACAACAGTATCCAAACACTGTAAAATGATTTTCATAAAATATTTTATAGGAAATGTAATTCATTTTTTAGAATTCATTTTCTAGAATCTGTTTTTTGTAAAACAAATAAATCCTCTATATCAAATGATCATTCTGTAACTTTTTATAGTCAATAAATTTAATAAAACAATATCTTATAACCAGGGACCATTTATGTAACCCTTACCTTACCGTATTTACATAAATAAATCTTATATGTAATTAATACTTTAATTAGGTAAGTGTAGTGAACATGATATCTTTTTTAATATATAATCATTGATATTTGCTTGATCAAATAATTTATATCAAATATTATAAAATTATTACGAGGGATCTAACGTAGTATTCAAGATTCTTTAGGCGAAATATCTGAAAGATACCAAACTTATGTAGACACATGTAATAATTTATGTTTTCACAACAAAACTTGAAGCGATTGACAGGCTCTACGAGGAGTTTTTATAGTATACTTGTTCTACAGTAGGGACAGTCCCCACATGTCCTGACCCAAGGGTCCAAGCAAGCAAAATGAAACCTGTGCCCACACGGCAGCCGTGTCAGCACATCTTCTTCTCCGAAACTTTCTAGACATATACTGCAATCCCTCGATTCCCTTGACTTCGTTCTTTCAACGTCCACCTCTTGGCTGCTGAAAACTTCCAACGGCAAACGGTTCAAAGCCTCCTGAGTAAGTCCGGGAGGCTTCTTGCTTGTTTCGTGTAACAATTGAAACCTTTCTGTTTCAGAGGTTAATGGGGAACCCCTAGGTGCCAATCCTGTAGAGATTTCGGTTATGCTCCTCAAATCATCATCTGACACATGCTCCCGGCGGTAAGCATTGTGTGGTGTTCTGCTGCTTTGCCTGAAGAAAATAAGAGGAAGAACCCGAAACCAAAATGAGAAGAAAAATCAAACAATGATTTAAGGAATGTTTAAGCCGCAATTTGCGCTTCAGATGTCTATTGATTAATGCGAGATTTAACATAACTGCGTCCACTATTGAACGCCAGACGCAGCATAAATACAATACAGGTTCGGGTGGTCCACATGCTTCTCTCAACCAGTTAGGAAACGAGTAACACTAATTTGTAAGTAAATGAAGTGGGAGCAGATGTGGTGTGGATTGTCATAGCGATAGTGATTTTAGTACTACGAACCACTAATATTACAGAATAGAAAACACCAGCGGTGGGACTGGACAGTAGTGGTAACTAGTGATGCAAAAGCCATCACCAACTGGATAGAAAGAACCAAAAACAGCAGTGGGGCTGCAAATTATAGTACCACGGGTAGCAGGGGAGTAACCAAAAAAATATCTGCTTTCACGTATTCACAGATGTGGGACGCAAAGTAATGAATGACAAGCATAAAAGAAAAATGTTTTTAAGGGAAAAAAGAAAAAGGCTGCAGAAACAGGATGGTTTAGTTAAGTAACTCTATAGAAGTATCTAGAACATCAAAGGCAGAGACAACAGTAGAAAGATAAATTCATTAGTGACGACCCACCCAACCTTAACCGGCTATAACCCAGGGTCATCTTCCTAACAGCTCTATCATATGATACGGTGCCTCCTTTCTTATTGCTAAACCAAGCTCAACTCTTAATGCCCCTAATACAAGACCCGTATTTATTTTTTTGATTCACAAATTATAATGGAGCACAACCAACAGCAAGACGCTGAATCTTCCTACAGATTATGACACGGATTGCTCATTCAATAGTTGCTTCTTTTGATTATTTTACACCCTCAACAGATCCACAAAATCAACAAAGTACAAGGGCAAAAATATAATCTGAATCCACGTAAACTTTTGCATATTTCCACAAGATCCATCCATACAATCATCAAACTTGAGAAATAAATAATAAATGTGATGTGATGTTCTAACGGAAATTTCCATCAGACCAAGAATAGCTGGGACTAGAGTAGCAAAAACAAAATGAGTGCCAAAGGTAAGTTCACCATCATGGATAAAAGTGGCATCCACACGATGTCAAAGATCATGCAGAATATAAGTATCCGATATAAATTACCGCATTATTCAATAAATATTATAATTTACTTGTCCTTGCAGTTCAACAAGAAATAATAACATGCGTAATCCAAGGAAGAGAAATGTGAAAACTATGAATTTCAAACTTGCAGAGAGGTCTAAGTACCAACCTGTTTCCAGAAACAGACACGCCTCTCAATCGCTCAAGAAGCCTCGCTCTTGCAAGTAGCACAGCTCCAGGAAGCCTTTCATCTGAACTCAAACTTCTTCCGCTTACATTGCTTACACCATCCACATTTAAAACATTGTTCGATACAAGCTCGCTGGTACCTTCATCAAACCTTGCTCTTGCAAGCCTCTCGTTTGATCTCAAACTTTGCCTTCTAGAGCTGTTTACAATGTCTGCATTTAAC